CTATGTATCTGCAAGCACGTTTCGGTCGCATTGTGAGCTTTCATCGTGCCGTTCCAACAATAGTCGATGCTGTTCAAGGGCTGCGCCGGTTTAAAACGTAAATCGCCTAACGGTGGCCGTGCGTACGGAATACCTCTGAACGCGACTGCGCCATCGTTCAGTATACCTTCCACTAATCCACAACTGGTGACTGCCTCAACGTACATACCGTCGCGAATCGGGGCATCGTATACACGACGACCGCTGGGGATGATGATCGCGAGAATGATTATAAAGAGCAGCGTGAATCCAAGGAGTGCACTGAGTGCGTAGCGGTATGCTTTCATTTTGTGCCGCCATGTTGGTTCGTCCTCGACTTGTTTCTCAACGTCTTTATCCTTATCATCGGCTTTGTCGTCCAGTGGGATAGTTTTCATTTCGTCGGGTTTTGCGTCTGCGGTTTTATCGTTGTCATCGAGAGTTTCCATTGAGGCAAGACCTGCCTTTGTTTGGTTTTCGAGGTTTTGCTCGGGTTCTTTTTTGAGCCAGGGAAGGACCGTCGTGATTGGAAGGCAGNGTTCTTTTTTGAGCCAGGGAAGGACCGTCGTGATTGGAAGGCAGAGTTTGTTTATTTTTTCTTTGAAACTTCCTGAGGGTTCATTTGGCTTTTCATCTAAACAAAAGAAAAACAATTTGAGAATTTGTTTAGTTGGGTATTGATAAATTCATAAATCTTTTTACCTTCTTCGTTGACAAGTTTTGATTTTCTGAATGGATTAGGAAGCTTTATCCTTGTTGGTTGTGCCTCCTTCTCTTGCTCAACGAGTTCTGTACCTTCCCCAGTCTCTTCATCTGCATCCTAAACATTAAATATTTGAATGAGTTTTGTTTTATATTTTTTAGCTAGTTGTTTAATTACCTTGCACTTTTCTCTAGACTTGCTTCTCGTGAAAAATCCTGGAAGTTGGATGCCACCGGTCGGGATCTTCTTGGGTTTGACCTCTTTGTCTTTAATGTCATCAATTTTAATCTTGCCGGTAGCTTCGGCCTCCTTTTCCTTGCTTTTATCTTTCTCGTTTTCAGTTTCGCTGACGACTGCATC